ACAGGTCCTGAAGGGCATTTAACTTCAGAATGAGGAGTGAAGGCTTGAGTCTGTAAGCCTAGAGCCAGGAACCTGTGATATATAATATGTGTGAAATAGTACAAACTATCCCATTTTATAGGTTCTTGAGTTGATGCTGCTTCCCCAGCCCCTTTCTGCCCACTACTGCATCTGTGTTCCTTCAGTCCCTGGGCCATATTATGATTGCCATTGGCCTTAAGCACTTTTCCCTTTGTGGGTCCCTTCCTCCATAAAAATTATTAAAAATTTAATCTTACAACTGCATTGTTATAAAGACAAATATAATACAACTGGACTCAATATATGGTCATTATTATCACATTCATTTTTTATTTTGCTTTAAAATAAACTAAAATTAAAACTTTTTTTTATGTGTCTAATGGAGAAGTTAGTTTTACTGCCTTCTTTCCTCGCTTCAAAGGGATCACTCTCCTCCCTTAGAATGTTGCTCCATTTACATTATGGTTGCCAGATCTTAGCCTCTAAATTTTTCAGTTAAAGTGAAATTTACTATTTTATTTCCAAGAAATTGATGCTGTTCTCAGATGCTGAAAACATTTGCAAGTAATAAACTGAAGAATATTATATTTTAAAAAAGGCTTAGGGGGATCTGAGTATTTGCCGATAATAATTTCAGAAAACTTGATAGGGAAATGTGAGTGGCACAGCCATGTCATTTAAAAAAGGATAAGGGACCTCACCAGAGATTAGCACTACACAGTGAAAAGCAGGTAGATCCTGCTTTTACCCCCCGAGTGAAATTTAATATTCAGGACTTTAAGATTTTGTATTTTGACTTCTAGTGTGTTGAATATATGAAAGCAAGGTTAGATGAAACAAAAGAACTGGTATTTTAAATAGTAAAATCATATTAGCTTATAGCATTTTTCAGATCATAGGGAGCTTTCTTGCCATTTAGTCATCCTGATATCCTTGTGGGACAGCTAAAAGGACTTCTGTTTTACTGAGATTCCAAAGGGCTGAGTAACTTGCTCAATGTATACAGTTTCTGATAGATATATGACTCCAGGTCTGGTTTTCCGAGTACGTTGTCTTTTCTGCTGCTTTATCCATAATTCCCATTGTACTGTCATAATAATGACACTGATATTAACAATAAGAATAAATAGTAGTTATAGCTCTCCCAACAGTGACATCCCTCTGAGGTAGAGAAGTAGCCTAGTCTAGTGGTTAAGCCTTTGCTCTTAGATTTCCTGGGTCCAAAACCTGTCTATTGCACTTACTAGTTATATAACTTTGAATGCATCTTGTAACCTCTGTTTGCCTCAGTTTCGTTATCTGTGATATGGTACTGTTAATTGTATCTCCTTTCAGGGTTGGTCTGAATATTGAGTAAGTTAATACAAAAGCTCTTGGAAAAGTATCTAAGTATAGTAGATACTACATATGTGTTTACTGTTATTTTATTATTACCCCCATTCTCTAGTATGATCCTTATAATAACACTTTGATATATTGGAATAATGATTGGTTCCTGATGGTTCATGGGGCCCAGTACATTTGCTTTAACAAGATAATGTCAGCAATATGATTTTTACTTTTTTTTTTTTTGGATATGTTTTTTTAATTTTTATTGTTGAATGTATTACAGATGTTCCTCATTTTTCCCCCATTGACCCCCTCCTCCCCACTCCCCCCCCCCCCGCCTTTTCCCACACTGTTGTCTGTGTCCTTTGGTTATGCACATAAGTTCTTTAGTTTATTCCTTCCCACCCCCCAACCCCCTTCTCTTTGAGGTTTGTCAGTCTAGCAACAAATTTGTTCTTGTTAATCCCTTCACCTTTTTCACCCATTCCCCCACCCCCCCCTCCCATCTGGCAACCAACAAAATGTTTTCTGTATCTATGAGAATGCTTCTGTTCTGCCTGTTCATTTTGTTTGTAGATTCCATTGTTGATAGATATGTATTCATTGCCATTTTGTTTGTTCATATATTTTATCTTTTTCTTCAAAAAGACCCTTCAACATTTCATATAATAACAGTTTGGTGGTGATGAACTCCTTTAACTTTTTCTTGTCTGGGAAACTTTATATGGCCATCAATTCTAAATGACAGCTTTGCAGGATAGAGTAATCTTGATTATAGGTTCTTGCTTTCCATCACTCTGAATATTTCTTCCCACTCCCTTCTGGCCTGCAAAGTTTCTTTTGAGAAATCAGCTGACAGTCTGATGGAAACTCCCTTGTAGGTAACTAACTGCTTTTCTCTTGCTGCTTTTAATATTCTCTCTTTGTTTTGAACCTTTTGCATTTTGATGATGATGTGTCTTGGTGTGAGCCTCTTGGGGTTCATCTTGTTTGGGACTCTCTGTGCTTCCTGGACTTGTATGTCTGTTTCCTTCACGAAGGTAGGGAAGTTTTCTGCCATTATTGTTTCAAACAGGTTTTCGATTTCTTGTTCTCTCTCTTCTCCTTCTGGCACCCCCAAGATGCAGATGTTGGCATGCTTGAAGTTGTCCCAGAGGCTCCTTACACTATCCTCATTTTTTTTAAATTCTTTTTTCTTTTTGCTGCTCTGATGAGGTGTTTTTTGCTTCCTTATATTCCAAATCGATGGTTTGCTTCTTGGCTTTACCTACTCTACTATTGAATCTGTGTAAATTATTCTTTATTTCAGTTAGTGCCTCCTTCATTTCTGACTGTGCATCCTTCATTTCTGATTGGTCCTTTTTAATGCTCTTCAGGCCCTCACTAAGTTCATTGAGCATCCTTATAAGCAGTATTTTGAACTCAGCATCTGGTAGGTTGCTTATCTCCATTTTGCTTAGTTCTTTTCCTGGAGTTTTGTTCTGTTCTTTTATTTGGGACCTGTTTCTTTGTCTCCTCATTTTGGCTGCTTTTCTGTGTTTGTTTCTATGTATTACTTAATGAGAGGTATGGGGCTATCTGAGATCAGATGCTGCTTGTTTGAAAGAATATTTAGGAAAACCTGCAGCAGGATCCAAGACAGGCCAATCCTATGGTTAAGCAAATGGCAACAGCCTGGGTGGGCCTGAAAGTTGGGTGGAGCGGGGCCTCAGGGAATCACCAGGGCGGGGCAACCAGTGTGAGCCAGGTTGCTGGAGTCCCAGATAAGGCGGCTCTCTGCCGCCCCAGGGAAGAGCTCACCAAAGGAACAAAGGCCTCTGACAGCACGTTTGTCCTGAAGAAAGCCCCCTCTCCAGCCCTTGCTCCAATGTCAAACAGCTCAGTTCTTCCCTGTAGGTCTCTGGCGCCCCTCCAGCTGCCTCCCCTCCAAGCTTAAAGGAAGCAAGTCTGATAAGTCTGTGCGCGGGCCCTTTAAGAGGAGCTGCCTGGGGCTCCAGCTGCATCTGTCTCCCTGAGCCTTAGTTCCCACTGGTTTTTCCAGCCAGAAGTTATGGGGACTTCTCTTCCTGGCACTGGAACCCTGAGCAGGGCACCTGGTGTGGGACGGGGACCCCCTAAGTCCTCAGGAAGTACCTTCCCAGCCGAGGTGTCCTCCTGATTTTTATCCGCCACACATGGGTGTGGGACTAGCCTGTCCGCCTTCGTCCCTCCTACCAGTCTGGATGTGGCTGCTTCTTTAATTCCGTAGTTGTAGGACTTCCATTCAGCTCGATTTCAGGCGGTTTTGAATGATGGTTGTTCTGTAGTTTAGTTGTAACTTTGATGTGGTTGTGGGAGGACGCCATTCCACGTTTACCTATGACGCCATCTTGACTGGAAGTTTTTACTTTTTAATAACAAGTGATTACTGTTAATAAAGGGGTTGAGATGCTCTGTAGCAATGGTTCTCAAAGTGTGGTCCCTGAGTCGACACATCTACATCATTGGGAACATCTTAGAACAGCAAATTTTCAGGCCTTATCCTAGACTTACTTGATTTCCTCATCTGTAAAATAAGGATGATTAATGGTAGAACTTTGTTGAGAGAATTAAATTATATAATACATGTTATGTGCTAAGCACAGTTCCTGACATATAGTAAGAGCTCAGTAAATATGTCATGGTTATTGTGCAAATTCTTACCTGTAGCCTTATTGCTTTTACTTTATATCATAATTTCCTCATCGTATTTTTTTTAGATGGGGCCTGTTTGTTATGGGATCCTGGATTTACGGACCTCATAATTCATATATACAGTTGACCCTTGAGCAACATACTTATACACAGATACTTTTCAGTAAATGTATCTTCTCTTCCTTATGATTTTCTTTAAAATTTTAGCCTACTTTATTGTAAGAATACAGTATATATGTAATACATATAACATACAAAATATGTATTAATCAACTGTTTATGTTATTGATAAGGCTTCTGGTCAACAGTAGACTATTAGTAGTTAACTTTTTGAGGAGTCAAAAGTTATATATGGATTTTTAACTGCACTGGGTGGTCAGTATCCCTTACCTCTATGTTGTTCAAGGGTCAACTGTATAAAGTTAAAGAAGCTCCTATGAGTTTTGCTTTTTCTTCCCCCCCAAAAAATCTCTATTTTTTGTTTGATTTTAGACAGCTTTCAAAACATCTATTTTTCATTCCACTTCATAGAAAAGTAAAATTTCTTGTCTTATATTTACATGTTAGTACAAAACTTAGTAATGATACAGAGAGGCCTTGAGTCCTTGTAGCCTTTTTTTCTTTTTAAATCAATAACAAGCCTGTTATCGAGTTACTAAAAGAAGAAATAAAAATAAAACATGAATCTTTTTTCAATGGTTCTTTGTGGAAAGGCAGTTCTTATAACAAAAGCACAAACACAATCTTTAAATAAATCAATAAATTATGCAGAGGAATTTTCAATTTAAAAAGTTGATTAATTTCCAGAGCAAATGAAAATATTTCATGGGTCATTGTGGGGGCTTATGGAAAATTTTGCTAATGCCATCATAAAAATATTAAAATATTGACAATTGGATTTCTTGATGATCTAGCAAAATGCTCTTTTTCTTCTCCTTCTCCTCTCTTCATCTTCCTCCTTCTTCCTTTTTTCCTAGCTGTTCTCAGCCAGAAGCAGTATTGCCAGATCTCCCAGGATAGGTTACCTGTTGTCATCCACTTCTCACTGTCATCCCAGATCTGTTTAGAAAATGGTAAGATCCCTTTATCCACCCAAATTAGGGTCAATTTTGATAAGCAACCAGAATGAGAATCACTTGCATTCACTGAATTTGGAAACTTTCTCTCATGCATCCTCTTAGTACCACAATCAGAGCCATACATTTAAGTTTATATATTCCAAGTCAAAATTTTCAAAGATATTCCCCATTAACCCAGCTGTTCCTGGTTTCTCCACTCCTGTACCCTGTGAGTTTTTTCTTCATGGTTTTGAGAAACCAGCTTAGACAACAATAACATTCATATCCCTAGAAGAGACCCCAGGGCCTTTCTAGCACAAAATCCTACCATCTTGTATTGGGAACCAAGGCTTTTGTGTTAAAGGCAAAAATAGATCCTTAAATTGTTTATGTTATAATGGAGACCTCTCAAGAAAGTATGGTTGCACAAATCTAGAAAGAATACTCTCTATACCTGAATTAAGTTATAATTAATTTTTTTTTCCCTTTATTGAGTTTAGAGAGAGAGGAAATGAGAGGGAGAGAGGGATAGAAACATCAATGAGAGAGAACATAGATTGGTCACCTCCTGCAGGCCCCACACTGGGGATCGGGCCCACAACCTGGACATGTGTCCTGACCGGGAATTGAACCAGTGAACTGTTGGTGCATGGGTCAACATTCAACCAGGGAGCCACACTGGCTGGACCTGAATGAAGTTATAAAAGGGATAAGATATGGGTTGTGAGGAGAAGGAAAACATCATTCCTTGGGACACAAACATAATATAGCTAATTGCTGTGTGGCTCAGGGAGTGTGTAGAAGTTGGGGCTGTCTGTCATAGGTCTCATAAATTTGCTTTTCATTACCTTTTTATCATTGTCCTAACCTTAAAAGCTGTTGAAAGGGCCTGCTTTTAGAGAATGTACTTAGGGGTCAAGTGTTCCTTCCACCCCTGCCCATTCCCTACACATACTTCTGAATTTGATATGCTGAGGGGTCAAAATGTAAAACTTGAACTGTCTCACTGGAGTGGGACAGATAATTGAAGAAACAGACCCAGGGTATGGCAAAACAGCAAAGAGAAATGAAGTAAATCATAAGGTAACAAGGATTCAGCATGAAAATGTCCAGGAATCCAAATACATGATTTAAGTCCAGTGACAGGAAATCCCCCAGCAAGCAATTGGATGGCAAGCAGGTGCTCAGCCCACTAGATAGTCTGTGAACAAGGAGCAAGGCCTTGTCATTGAAGGCAGAGATTGAAATCTCAAAGTGGGAGGCTGGAAAAAATTACATTATTTAGTTCTAAGGAAACAGATGGAGTGTGTTCAATCCTTCAAGTCTAAGATTAGGATTGTTCTCATGTTTCAGTGGGGATGAGCCAGCCTGGAATCTTTAGGCAGTAAACAACAAGAACCCAACTCACACTAGCTTAAGCAACAAAAAAATTATTTGTTCGTGTCCTAGAGGGTAGCCCAGAAGATTAAAGGAAAAACTGCAGGAACAATGTCCAAGGCAGAATGTGGGACTCAACATGGCAGAGATTTTTCTCTTTCCATCTCTGCTTAGCAGAATTCTACTATTAGATTCACTCTACATTGTAAAGATGGTCACTGCCAGCCATAGATTCATGTACTTCCTGCTTAGGAATAAAGTACTCCCCCCCCCCCCCCCCCCCCCCCCGATAATGACTCTGATTAGCTCTGTTTGAGTCAAGTGCCCACCCTATGGCTGAATCATGGTGGCCTAGGAAATAAACTAATATTATTGTCCAAACCTGGGTCATTGGTTCATGGGTTGCAAGAAAGTATTGTTAGCCCAACCTGAGTCATGTGGGATGGGATTAGGATGATAACTCAAAGTAAGAAAAGTCAAGTAATCTATTATTTTGAAAGAGAAGGTAAATCCTGCCCTTAACCTAGGGCTGGTGTGTGTGGTGTGTGGAATGGAGGTGAAGACAAAAATGGAGAACAGATACAATGCCCTGATTTAAAAATTTTACCTGGAGTTATGGCCAATGAGGAGCTCATGGCTAAAGCAAAAGACCTGGAAATAGAATAAACAGTTTACCCATTCTCACTATAACTAATGTTTTAAAACACCTATGTATAGGGAAAAAATCCTGGATGAAGCTACACCAAAATGATAACAGTGCTTGTGTGGTAAGATCCACCCCCCATCCCCCGGGACCCCTTTCATATCTTTATTTTTTAATTTTTCTTTTATATGTAATTTACTGGATTATTGAATAGACTAGACTTGGTAGGATGGAATAAAGAAATGGCAGGTTTTTCTGTTTCCCCAAATTCCTTGAAGCCATCTGTGGATGTTTCTATGTTTACTACAAGGGTAGAATTTTACAGAGGAGAATGTTAGAATTGAAAGGCCTTAGAGATCATGTCATTCAGTTCTCTCATTTTGCAGACGAGAAATCTGATGCCCAGAGATGTTGAGAACCCAAACTGGTTAGTGGGGAGTCAGAAACAGGACCCAAATTTATTGACTACCAATAAAATGTTCTCTCTGGTATGCAGGATTCTGTCCTGAGACAGGAAGGATGCTGAGGAACCTCGTTTGTAGGTGTACAGAGATTCTTGAAAGGTCTCTAATACTTCAAATGTCATCATAGGGGTTTAACTCCTTGGGGTTAAAGTCTTAATCCAATTTCAGGGCAAATACCCTTGAGAACAGGTAATTCTTAAGCTGATAATTATACTTTAATATGAATGGACTTTGGTTCCTTTTTCACATAGGCTTTGGTAGACTGATGATTGGGCAGGATTTACCCAGTGAGTACTGACTTGGTGTAAATTTTGAAATAAATATACCTTCTGTGTTAATATGTGTGTCTTTTTTTTTTTTAAGGTTGGCTCTGTCAATATCCTTACTCAAAATCGGAAATTCTGAAATGGAAGACAGTCCTCAATATTGCTGTGAAGAAGCTACAAGGAGCCATAATTCAAATGTAGGGAGCCCTCTGTAGTCTTCAGAATCTTATACTTTTAGGAGGCATATGATACAGTAGATAGATAAAAAGAAATGTAGAACCTATGTGACCCTGGACAAGTCACCCTATCACCTTGCCTATTGTATTCATAATATGAAAAAATATATGCACACACAAATCCTTCTCTTCCTGGTAACTCATAAAAAAGTCTTTCTATGATCCATGACTTATAAATCAATCAGCCTTATCGTATGACCAGTACAGGATCATGTATGACACTGTTGGGGAGGAGAGAAGGAACAAAAGTAGTCAGTGAAAGAAAAGCCAGCTGTAAGCAAAGTACTGTTCTAAGGAAACATAAAACCAGTCCCTGCTGTTACGTAAAGTGGGGAACTAAACATCTCAGCAAGTTAACAATCAACAGTAGACAAATCAAAGAATTAGGAGGTGATAATAACAATAGTAAGCACTAATAAAATACTTTGTGCTAGACAGTCAACCTTATGCTTTACATATGTTATCTATACTCCTTACAACAACACTATGAGAGAGGTACAATTATCATTTTCATTTTACAGATGAGGAAACTAATGTTACACAAATTGTGTCAATTTGTTCAGTCAGACAGTGAGACAAAGGCAGAGCCAGTGCTGAAACACAGCTCCATCTAACTCTGAAGTCTACCCATTTTCCACCATGCTTTGTTTCTACTCCAGTTCTTCACCTGTCTGTGTGGAAATAACCCTTATTGCTTGCAGGAATGTATTTGAAATGTAATACATCCTTAGTATTTAAATTTTTCAAAAACTTAGAAAAGTGTAAGAAGAAAAAAAAAACCAATCTTTTCACTAAGGGAATACCATTTTTATCATTTTGACATAATTCCTTCCAGCTTTCTTTCCAATACACACACACACACACGCACACCATAAATATAGTAAGTACTATATATTTAAATGATATGTATTTTGCGCTGGACGGTTTGACCCAGAGGTTGGAGCATCGGCCCACAGACCGAAGGGTTGTGGGTTTTTTTCCTGGCCAAGGGCATGTACCTGGGTTGCACGTTTGATCCCTGGTACCAGCAGAAGGTAATCAATCGATGTGTCTCTCTCATATCCATGTTTCTTCTCTCTTTCCTCCTCCCTCCCTTCCACTTTATCTAAAAATCAATGGAAAAATATCCTCAGGTAAGGATTAAAAAATAAATGATATGTGTTTTACATATTATCTTTTAAGATATATACTATCTTTTGAATGCCATTTTTGTCCTGCTTTTTCTCCTTTCACACAAGCATTTCCCTATGCTGTTAATTCTTCAGAAATAAAATTTTGAATGGCTGCTTTGAATTAATTACATTACATGGATGTTCCATGATTTTTTTAAACTATTTTCTTATTATTGAATATTTAGATTCAATGGCCCTATGAATATTTTATATTTCTCTGATACCTTCCTAAAGCTATATTCCTAGAAGTAGAACTTGGTTAAAGGATATAAATATTTTTTAAGTTCTAGAGAGCTACTGCCAAATTGTTTCCAGAAAAACCATGCCAGCTAGCCCTTCATAGCAATGTAAGAGGGGCCATCTCAACATTCTTAGCACTGAATGTAATTGTTAAGATTATTCAACCTCAACTAACTGATAGATAAAGAATACTCTTAAGTGTTTATTTCTTTACTAACTGTATAAGTATTTCTTGATATTTAATAACTTTGTTTTGTGTACTGGGTGTTCCTAATCTCTGTATCTTTTCCCCCTAGGGGTTTTAGTGTCTTTCTTACTTGCTCATTTAAGTTTTGTGTTTTTTGAAATTTTTTTTCTTTATTGATTTTAGAGAGAGAGGAAGAGAGAGGGAGAGAGAGATAGAAACATCGATGAGAGAGAACATCAACTGGCCGCCTCCTGCATGTACCCCACTGGAGATCGGACCCACAACCTGGGTATGTGCCCTGACCAGGAATTGAACTGGCGACCTCTTGGTGATTGGGTTGATGCTCAACCACTGAGCCACACAGTTTTTTGTGTATTAAGGATATTAACTTTTTGTTATTTGTGGTAAATATTTATTTCTTTAGTTTATTGTTTCCTTTTTAATTTTATGATTAAGATGTAGGTGTTTTAGCTTTTCTTGTTGTACAGTTATCAATGTTTTGTTTTAAGATTTCCCCCCATGGTTTTATAACTGGAAAAATGTTTTCTCATTCTGAGATTAGGTAGACCTACCCTATTTTTTATTTATTTTTTCTACATTTAGCTGGAAATGTTGTTGTGTGTGGTGTGAGGGGATGAAATTCTAGCTTTATTCATCCTATTCCAATAATAATGATAGCTAGTATTTACTGGGTGCTAATACTAACAGCCAATGTTTATTGAGTGCTTGTTTTGTGTAAAGTACTACATAAAGCAATTTATATGCCTCCATGACTAAGTTGCTGTTGTTAGGCCAAGGTCAGAGAACTAACTAGTTAAGTGGGTGAGCTGCTATATAAGCTAGGTCTATCTGAAACCAAAGCCTATGCATTTAACTTCAACACTATTATCTCTCTGGAGTCATGTATTAAATATATTCTTTGTTACCCACTGATTTGAGTATTCACTTTAATTATATCTTTAGTCTTATATACATTAGGGTTTACTTTTGAGCTATCTATTCTATTCCATTAATCTGCCTATTAAGTTTTTAGCTATTTTAATTGTTCAGGCTATATAATATGAGAGAAGTAGAGTATGGTGCTAGAAAGAACCTTGAAGCCCAATTGTTTGGGCTAAAATCCCAGCTCCATTCAGTCATGTAACTTTGGGAAAGTCACTTAACTTTTCTTTGCCTCACTTTCCTCAACTGTGAAATGGGGATAATCATAGTAGCCAGCTAGTAAATATTACTAGCACAAAAAAGCACTCAATAAATGTTAGTTATTACTATCTTAATATCTGGTACAGCGAAACTCCTCTTGTTACTCTTTCTACATCAAAGCATCTTAGCAGTTTCACCAATTTATTCTTTCAGTGAACTTGGAATTAGATTTTCAAATTTATAAAGGCCTCAAAATGATGTGAATCAGGCAGCATATTTTAATGAAAAGAAAACCAAACTTTCAGGGAGTATATATATATGAACTCTCTGTACTTTCCATTCAGTTTTGCTATTTACCTAAAATTGTTCTAAAAAATAAAGTCTAAAAAAAAATTGAAAGGAAAAAATAAGTCAAACTTGGAATTGGAACACCTAGGTTCATTAATCAAGGGGTGTGGGATCTTGTGTAAGTCAGTTGGACTCCCTGAACCTCTGTTTCTTCAGTCATTTAGGGATAATATGTCTTCTAATTACCACAGCAGGTTGTTATGAAGCTTAAAGCAACACTTTAAGCTTCAAACACACACGGTTTGTGGACTCTAACACACTAAGCAAGTAAAAAGCATTTTTAATAATAACCCAATACCCTCAGAAGGTTTCTTGAAACAAGTGGGTTTAGAACCAAGAAGAGATGGCTTGTCAGAGTAGATGGAGGAGGACAATTTAGTTGGCACACGGCAACAGGGATGAGTAAGGTGCTTTTATATGTGACCCATAATAATAAATTATCAAGGGAGTGTTTGTTTTTTAACGATGAAGATTTCTCAAGTTGGTAGAATTAGTTCCCAAGGGATCTGTCAAATACAGAATCCAAGCTTTAAAAAGAGCACAAGTAATTTTACAATCTGTGCATTACAAAACATTTCTGTAAGAAAAGCAGCCAAGTCCTAACATTCCCGTTTACCAGTGTTAGAGATACCATGGAGATTAAACATATGCTTGCTGGATGAAATGTAATTTTAGGTAAATCAAAACTACCAGCCTACCAGATTTCTATAACATTTGCTACATAGAACATAATAGAAGTTTAATATCAAGTCAGACCCAGGGAAAATTAAGGACAGGAAGAAAGAATTTTCTCCAACCCCAGTGGCAGATCCACACTGATACAGACTCTGGATTTATCACAGGAAGTCCGGTCTGACAAACGTAGTGAAAACCTCCCATGCTAGACCAGATCCCAAGGCACTCCATACAGCAGAGCACATTCTCCATACCAGGCCTACCTAAGACCTTTTATATGAGCCAGAATCAGATCTCTGGGCCTAAGCTGGTGAGCTCTAGTGCTCTGGTTTTACTCATATTCACTGTTAGAACATGATGATGCAAAAGCACTAGCCTGGAAATCCCAGGCTTGCTTCTAACCTTGACCCTGCCATTTTTTAGCTGTGTGACCAGAGTACAAAGGTCAATGTCATGTGGAAACTTAGAGCCAAGCTTTGGAGCCTACACAGTTTTTATGCTCCCATTTATAAACCAGGAGATTTGGGACATTTAGCTTACCTTTCTCATATAAAATGGAGATCAACCTACAGGGTTGTTGAAAGCATTAAATAAAATAATACAGCTAAAAATTATAGGAAATGTTCAATAAGCAGTAACTATTATTTAGCAATTATTGTTCCTTTTTCTGTACTTTGGTTCCTTCATCTGTAAAATGGTATTAGATATTTTCTAAGCATGCTTCACTTCTTACATTCAGTGGATGCCCCCACTGTAAGGAATTTAGCTTACTATTAGATTCTTAGGCCTATTTGGTTTGAAATTATTTGAGGTATAGTTCCCTTTCTATTCCAGCCTCTGTCTTAGAGTAATTTAAATACCAGAGGGCTGGCATGATTGGGTAACTTCTGACTTAGAGAAGGAATGTGTCCTTAAGTCTTAGCAATGACTTTTCCTGGGAATAACCACCGCCTTAAACTTCTGAGAAATGTGCAAGTATTAGGGCTACTTTGTTGAACTAATCAACTTGGTGGTACCCATCACCTGTTGAAAAAGCCAGAGATCAACTTCTGGTCCTTAAGCAAGAGGAGAGTAAGACCACTGACACTGCCAACACTGAGAAAAGGCAGAGAAGAGGCCGTCTTTGTTGACACAGGAGGCTGATTAGTCTTAAAGGGATGACTAAAAGACTCTGTCTTGAAGCCTGTTAAAGGGGATAGAAAAGGAAGCATTGCTTTTAAAAGGGTAATGGGGAAATTTTCTGAATTATAGCTGCCTACTCTGACTATTTAAGTAATGTGGCATTTATAGAATGCAAGAGATTTTGCATTGGAGTTTTTTTTTTGTACTAGAGCTTTTGTATCTTAATTTTGGGCCTTAACTGCTAAGGAGGTGGAACATGCCTTTTTAATCCCAATGATTATAGATATTTACACTTTAGTGGCATACTTACCTTTCTTTTAAGAATAATCCAAAAGATCTGTTTGTAGAAAATGACAGAAAAATAGAATCACGTTTAGGTATTGAATGAAAGGGCTGATGTGTAGGCTTGGAAAATAGTAATTAGACTCATGTTTCCAGTTGGATTATAAATGTGTATTGTTAAGCTGATATTGTACCAGCCTTTGATGCTTATAAATGGAGTGGCATGCTTGTGTTTTGATGTAGGAAAGAGTGGCAATCTATAAGCACTTTGCTTTTGTCATATTGTTCAAAAAATTTGCCCACTCACCTCATTTTTGACAGTAGGATACATTTTCATAAGAATATGAGAAAGAAAGGAAGGAGCAGCAGGAGGAAGAAAGCAAGAGAAGACACAAAGGGGAAGAGAGAGAAAGCTGTTGCTAATCAAGCATTTCTATTTTCCAGCTACCACATGGCAGATTTGGTCCTTGCCCACCCTCCTGGCTTCTGTTCCTTCCCCGCCAAGGCTCAATGGGAAGCATGCCCTCCTTCTTCTTGGAGAGGGACCAGTGACTCTTGATGATTGCTAGGGACTCCCACCCCCATGCCAACAATGGTGTGGCTATTATACCTTTCCCACTTTTTATTGATCAACTGTACTATTTTAATCCTTTATAAAAATTTCCTTTTGATATGGCTTTTCCCACACCCCAAATCTTGCACTCAATCAAAAAATGCACATATGTATACACACGCACGCAGACCATATCTTCTAACTACTCCAAGACCCTGAGCTATACCAGCTCAATTTCAGGAAACATTAAAAAACATTGAGGATTCCTGTTTGAATCTGCTCTAAATCTGAAAGGACTTGCTGCAGCCTTAGATATTCTTTCATGCTGTTGCTGAGATTTGTTTGTTTGTATATTTTGAGTTCCACTTTATGCTGCTGTTGGAAATACACAAACTGCTAATTCTTCTCTGGGGAGGGGGCTCCTACTTCACCTAGTTACTGACACTTTTGATTATTCTTTAGTGTTGGTTATGGATCTGCCAAATTGAATGCCCACATTCTGTCTTAATAACCGAGAAGCCCAGAAGCCCACCTTTGGTTGCTGCATTAACTTAGAAAAAGCAAGCTAGCAGCCCTGGCCAGTTTGGCTCAGCGGTTGGAGCGTTGGCCTGCGGTCCGGAGAGACCCGGGTTCGGTTCCCGCTAAGGGCACGTACTTCGGTTGCAGTTTGTACTTCGGTTGCAGTTTGTCCCCGGCCCTGGTTGGTCGTGCGGGTGGCGGCCACTCGATGTGTCCCTTCACGTCGATGTTTCTCTCTCTCTCCCTTCCTCTCTCTCCCTCCCACTCTATCTGTACAAAAAAATGGAAAAATATCCTCGGGTGAGGATTAAAAAAAAAAAAAAGCAAGCTAGCAGCAGCCCATGTGGGTATTAAGCAGGTGGTGTTGGTGTTGGTCTCCAAGAGAGCTAAGACTATCTCTTTAGTATATGACCTCTGCTTTGCCAGCCTAACTTTGGAGGTTTCTACTGGCATGTTGCCAACAGCTACCTGCTACTTGGGTAAATGAGTCTGTGTGCACGTGTGTGTGTGTGTTGGGGGTGGGAAGCTGGTCAAGAACTAGGGTGTTCTCTTCATGGCTGACACTCAGATACAGAGCCCTGGTGGGTCTGCATTTTATACTATGCCCACAGCTCCTGTAGCACCCAACACGAGAACTGTGGGGAAAAGTATTGTGAAGTGGAGAGAGTAGAGTGGAGAGTTTGGAGTGGATATGCATACATTGAAGCTTTCCCATGTAGCTGCATAACCTGGGCACTCTCTTTAGAATGGAAATAGCATCTTTCTCATGAATTTTGCCCATGGAAGACACTTAGTAAATATTTGTGGATGGTTAAATGAATGTTCTAAGAGGCTACCTTTATTTCAGGGTCTCAGTCTAAAACCTAGAAGCTAGGTTGTTTCATATTTACCTGCCATTCCCCTTTACCACCTTATTAATGCACACGTATGTGTATAATTCCCACTAAAATAACTAATATTTATAGAGTGCATGTTAAATACTGGGGTCCCAAGGTCTGTGTGCATTAACCAGAGATTCCTTACATTTCTGTGAGGTATTGTCATTCCCATTTTACAGATGAAGAAACCAAGGCTCAGAGTTTAGTACTTTGCTTACTTTCTATAGTCCCAAGTGGCAGTGCCAGGATTCATCTCAGTTCTTGTCAAAAGCCCATGCTGTGTCATACTGCTCCTATGGGGACAAAGACTACTTATTAGTCCTGTAGTTCCTACAGCCTCTGGTATAGTGCTTCACACACAGTAGGTGCTCAATAACTGTTTAAAAATGGCAGGCACTCCAAAATGCTTTGCTAAGGATTTCAAAATCCAGCTGTCTTAATTTAAAAGAAGCCCATTAAGCCCTGGCCAGTGGCTCAGTTGGTTGGAGCATCATCCTGTACACCAAAAAGGTTGCAGGTTCAATTTCTGGCCAGGGCACATACCTAGGTTGTGGGTATGATCATTGGTCAGGGCGAAGGCAACCAAGTGATGTTTCTCTCTCACATTAATGTTTTTCTCTCTCTTTCTCCCTTTCTCTCTCTCTAAAATTAATGAACATATCTTTGGGTGAATATTAAGAGAATAAAAAAGCCTATTAAATCCATGGTAAAGGTGAGGTCACAGAGACCTGAACAATGATTGGCCATCCTCCAGCCCTTGATAAGACCAAGAAATTAGCCAAGTCTTGAATTCTTCTCTTTTGAACAGAAAAACAGAAGAAGCTAAGCTGAAGAAAGAGGGATTCAACAAACAACTTATCCTGCGCCACTATAATGATCCTAAAGCCGAGGAGGAGGTGAACAACAGTCCCCTTACTTCTCCGTGTTTCTGGCTGGAGCTGCTGGAGAGGAAGCCTCAGATGCCAGAAGTCAAAGAGGCTGACCCAGAGATGAAAAAGTTCCATTACGCCTTGGTAGATGGTTCCTCCATGACCTAATATCCTTGTGAAATTCCAAAGGGAAAGGAGGAAGGAGGGGACCAGGCAGGTGGAAGAGGCTGACAGGTGGAGTGTTTTCTGTTTCACCAGAAAATTCCAGAAAGGAAGTCTGATGTCTTGTGTTTATTCAGTCCCTTTCTCCCCAAAGTCCACGTTCCCTCAGGCCGGGGGAGCAGGAGCAGTCAACCTGAAAAAGAGGTTGGGACAAATTCTCCAGTTTACAAACTTCTATTTAAGAAAACCTCTGGTTATAACCAATATTTTTGTTAAGTATCTGAGTGTTCATGTGGTTCTGAGAAAATGAGTTCTCCTTGATTCATTTTCCTGATTAGTAGAGAGAACCACATAGGGATTTAGCATCTAGAGAGTCTAGTTTAAAGAGAAGAGGGCCTTTGTAATTAATTCTTATAAATCCAAAATGAAATAGACCTCAAGAGTCCATCATAATTTTGTAGAGGTTGCTACAGCTAGGTATTGTGAAATTGTTCGTATATCCATAATTATCCTTTAGCCCTCCTTTGCCCCGTCTGTCTATAGACATTAGTGGGGAGATCCAGTCCTGCTGTGTGCTGGAATGACCTCACCCGGCAGTGCTGGGTGCCAATGGGCAACTTTGGTTTCCAGCAACTTTGCCATCAACAGAACCAGTCTGACTAGACTTACCTGTTATTATTTACATGGTTGGTTTCAAAGAATTTAGGGCTAAAATGACGTTGCAGGTAATTGGACGCTTGGTAAGAACATGCAACTGGTAGTCAAGGAACCCATGTGCTGGCCTGGCACTATCATTATTGTGCTCAGTGACTGTGGGGAATCGAGTCACGCTCTCTGGACTTCTGTTGCATTATCTGTAAATAGCTAATTAAAATAAATAAATTGACTGAGAATGAATGGCATTCTCTATAAGAATTATTAACATTATTGTTGTTTTTTTTATCTATATCAGTTCCTTGACCTTGATTTTACCTATCCTTCTGGTTGTGTAGCTGTCTGCCAAAGCTATTCTGCCCTCCCTTTTGGTGGTGTGTACACTAACATATTCAGTGACTTGCCAGATCAAGTTATCCTTGGGACCTTTACACCTTTTGGATGTGGTAGCCTTTCTTTTCCTAAGAGGTACGTGAGGTTCCAAACAATCTAGAACTTGTAAAAGAGCTGAATCCTGACAAAGGGAAGGATGGGAAAGCAATCATTTTGGTGCTAATCCTCACCTAAGGGTATTTTTTCTATTGATTTTTTTTTAAGAGAGAGTGGAAGGGAGAAGGGGAAGGGAGAGAGACATCGATGTGAGCGAGACACATCCATTGGTTGCCTCCCGCAGGTGCCCCAACCAGGCTGGGGATCGAACCTGTAACCCAGGTACATTCCCTGGATCAGGAATCGAACCCGAGACCCTTTGATGCATGGGCCAACACTCTAACCACTGGCCACAGCATGGGAAAGCAATTTTTTAAATGATCAATCTAATTGGGAAAATAGGTAAGAAAATGAAACATACATACATTCATGACTGTTCCATGTACAAACTTGCAAATCAGAACAGGCCAAAAGACTGTGAGTCTCAAAGAATCCAATTGTGCCATCCATGAGGTGATGCTGTGGCCCTCAAGAACAGAGGGATCTATATGAAGGCAAGGCCCCAAGAATGCACAGCTTGGGAGCTAAAACAGGGAGACTATTAATAGGTGAGCCAGGTGTCAGCTGGGCATGCCTGACCCCTTAAGAACTAGGTATGCTGACAGGACCCCCATTTCACAACCATGAAAATCTCACGTCCTCTAGATTTCTACAGAGTTCTTAGGGGTTATAATCTTGTGGTCTCCTCTAGTTTTGAAACCCCGCCTCCTCTGAATATTTGTCTTTGTATCTGTGAGTTTATTTTGGCTATCTTTTGATTTGAGCCAATTGGAGAATTTTCTCCTTTCCTTGATTTTCACACATTTTAAAAACTATTCACCAGAGGCCTCTGTGACGGTAGCAGAGTTTCTTTGTGATTTGAGTTACATAACATTCCCATTAAAAATGTCAAGTACAGCCCTGGCCGGTTTGGCTCAGCAGTTAGAGCGTCAGCCTGCGGTCCAGAGAGACCCAGGTTCAGTTCCCGCTAAGAGCATGTACCTTGGTTGCAGTTTGTCCCTGGCCCTGGTTGGGTCATGCAGGTGGCAGCCACTCAATGTGTCCCTTTCACATCATGTTTTTCTCTCTCTCTCTCTTCCTTTCTCTCCCTCCCACTCTATCTGAACAAAAAATGGAAAAAATGTCCTCAGGTGAGGATAAAAAAAAAAATGTCAAGTACATGAACAGTGTAAAAATTGGAAATTTTATAGACACACACACACACACACACACACATATATGGAAGAACACATAGTAATCTATATAGTATTTATAATCATTTAACATATATAGGTATCATTGTTTTGTTTTTTTTTAATCCTCACCCGAGGACATTTTTCCATTTTTTGTTCAGGTAGAGTGGGAGGGAGAGAGAGGAACAGAGAAAGAGAGAGAAACATCGACGTGAAAGGAGCACATCGAGTGGCTGCCACCCGCACGACCGACCAGGGCCGGGGACAAACTGCAACCGAGGTACGCGCCCTTAGCGGGAGCCGAACCCGGGTCTCTCTGGACTGCAGGCTGATGCTCTAACCGCTGAGCCAAACCGGCCAGGGCTAGGTATCATTGTTTTTATAATCAGAACAACCTAATTATTATTATTAAAATTCATATATATACATTGTATCTACCACATAGGATGGTTATAAAACCTAAATAAGAAAAATTACCATGGAAGTTTTAGTGTATTCTAAGATAGATAGGATTAAATGGAGGTAGATAACTTTTGGAGGTGATGGATATGCATAGAATGTGGTCTTACAGCTCTATACTTATCAAGTTGTATACATTAAATATGTATAGCTTTTTGTGTGTCAATCATAACTCAAGTGGTTTTTAAATGATAAATATAGGTGGTGGATAGATAGATAGTATAGAGATAGGTAGGTAAAGAGCTGAAAATTTCACAAAGTAGTGATTCTGAGTGGCAGGGCTATGTGGGTGGGAAATTTTGAGAACCCCTGAACATACTGGGAAATTCCAAAGTTGAGAATATGTACACATATTACAGTGTACAGGCAGGAACAAGACTGAGAGATGCTGTTATAGGGAGCGTGTAGGTGGGTGTTTTGAAGGACTGCTGCTCTATACTGCTTTAGGAAACATGCCACAGCATAAATACTTCTTTGTAAAGCCAGAGATGGTTAAGTGTAGAGATATAATATTGTTCAAGAATAGGGGCTAACCAGAAAGTCCCGTCCTGTTCTCTGTGATACTGGTGATTTCTTCCTTGAGAATTGCTCATGAGGATCTTGACCTCAACTTATTCCAGTGTCATCCCTGAACCTAACCCATGCTTGATCCAAAGCTCATCCTGATTTTCACCATATCCCACAGCCACCCTGACTACAATTCCTGTCATCTCACAGCTCAGAAGCTTAGGAATAAGATGGTAAGGGGTAGCATTGTCAGCAAGGGTCAGAGTAAAGTCAACCATAGACTGAAGGAGTCAAGTGAGAATATCAAAATGCCTATAACCAACCAAGTACAGGTAGCAGAGGCTGCAGGTGTCTTCAAGACCACTTGTTAGTTTCCTAAGGCTGTCATTACAAACTATCATGAATTGGGTGCTTAAAACAATAGAAATTTATTTTCTCAGAGTGCAGAAGGCCAGAAGTCAGAAATCAAGGTGTTGCCAGGGTTGATTCCTTCTGCAGACTCAGGGACTATCCATTTCATGCCACTCTCCTTGCTTCTGGTGGTTGCTGGCAACCCTTGGTGTTTCTTGGCTTGTAGACACATCACTCAAACCTCTCTCTCCATCTTCATGCCACCATCTTCTAGATGTGCCTATCCTCCTCTTACAGGGACATCAGTCATTGGATTTAGAGCCCACCCTAAACCTAGGATGATTTCATCTCAAGATCCTTATTTAACTATATCTACAAAGGTCCTATTTCCAAATAAGGTCACATTCTGAGGTTTAGGGTAGACATGAATTTTGGGAGGACACTATGCAACTCACTATCATTACTATTCCTCTATATTTACCCTTTTGGGGGGTATTACTTTCCCTCATACCTCTTCCAGCTCCTCTTCAATGTGCTTTATTTCCATTGAGTTGGTCACTCATATTTAAAGCACTGTAGATGGAAAATTTGGACCAAAGCACATTGACTATATAAATGTAGCAAATAAAAAAGGTGAAATGTGGGCTTAGAAAAACATTTTTTGGCCCTTGAGCTTTAAGAAGAGATGGACATTGTAACTTATTCATAAGACAGCCTTACAGTGAACTGTCACCATGTAGGTAAAGTTACCCTCCTGATTTGCTGAATTTGAATTTTTTGAATGAGCCCAGCACATATTTCCCCATATCCTATGTTTTGACTTGTCTTAATTTCAACACCCTGGGAGTCGAGAGTTAGGTCATCCAGAAAGCAAGGAACTCCCCTCTTTTTTTTTTTTTTTAAACCAGTTACTAATATGTTCTTGTGTGTTTCTGCCATGTTCAGCATTTCATATACACTGATCATGCTTCTAGTGAAGCCCCTTCTCCCTGACTCCTTTCCTTAGCTGTTTTTATGAGTCTAATCACCTGTCAAAATGTGTCAGCAGCTTGCCAGCTGAGAGAGTGCAGGTCAGCAAAAAGCTAAGAGAAACAAAAGACTAATGCTTTATTCTCAAGATGCAAATAGAAAAAGAGACAGATTAATGGGGCAGCAAAGTGCCTGGGTGAGTGGCATGTAAACACCTGTCCTTGGTGTGGAAGAGCTTTTCCCAACTTTGATGTTGAGATGAAAAGAAGATGACAGAATCTAGAAGCATTTCACAGGCTGAGAAAGCACATACTTTCCTCTCCCAACCCTAGTCGTTGAACAGTTTCGAAAGAGTCGGAAGCACTAGGTAATTTTATGGCATTTTAATTTGAACATCTTATTCTATGACACTACAGACAAGGTGGAAAAGTAACAATTTCTTTTATAAAGATGAAATATATTCTTACTTGATTTTTGGGGATTGTTAAAGTTAGATTCTTTGGAAATTATTTCCTGTGAACTTGCTTAAAACACATCCCCTTTATTAATTGCAAATATATATCACTTTAAGTCAAGAGAGAAATTTTCATGTTATTTATTTTTCCCAGGAACCCTATGATTAGGTCTAATTCCCAGCTGGGGAAACTGAGGCTCAAAGAAGATGTATACTGTGACTAAGGCCACATGATAGAGAAAAACATTGGTCAGTTTTCAGACTCTAATTACAATGGTGGTTTTTGTTTTGTTTTTTTTTTTAATTTCTTTTTCCAACCCCTAACATTTTGAGAGAAGGAGAATACTACATGAGTAATAATAAGAGTAGTTGTTGTAATGATGGTGATGGTGCTGGTGATGATGGTGGTGGTGGTGTGGTTATGACCATGGGCTTTGGGGTTAGACGTATCTGTCATTTAGCTGGAGCAACAGGGCAATTTGGGCATATGTCTTCAGTACCTAGCAGACTTTCTCAGGCTGCTTCACATGGTGGCTGGGTTCTAAAAGCAACAATAGTTAAGATGAATCCCAGTGCATAAGCACTCTTCCAGCCTCCTCTATTGTCAAGTTTTCTAATGATCCATTGATCAAAGCAAGCCATTTGGCCAAACGTACATTCAGAAGATGGAGAAAAAGACTCTTCTTGGGAGAAGCTGCAAAACATTGTAGCCATTTTTTTTTTTTTAATCCTCACCCAAGGACATTTTTCCATTTTTTGCACAGATAGAGTGGGAGCGAGAGAGAGGAAGAGAGAGAGAGAGGGAAACATCGATGTGAAAGGGACACATCGAGTGGCTGCCACCCGCACAACCAACCAGGGCCGGGGACAAACTGCAACCAAGGTACATGCCCTTAGCGGGAACCGAACCTGGGTCTCTCCGGACCGCAGGCGGATGCTCTAACCGCTGAACCAAACCGGCCAGGGCTGTAGCCATTTTTATTTTATTTTTGCATTTGATCACAAGGGCAATACCTGAATCTAAATTATTTCTTCTCTCTCTGCTTTTCTCTACCCTCAATTCTATT